GGAATGAAAGTTGCTTTTCGTGTTTCTCGCAATAGCATTTTTTCCTGCAGTCTATATTCCTTCCTCTTGTTTTTATTTTGTTCTCGTTCTGCTTTTTCAAGTGCATTATTAAAAGCGCCTTACAGTTTCAGAGAACAAAAAATGTCATTCAAACAAAGAGAAAATAATTATTCTAAAAGTCTTACTGTAAATAAGGGGATTTTTAAAATCCAAGAGTTCTCTGTGATCATAATTCATAGTAGAGATGAAGATATTAGCTTGTGCATTGGTCACAAAACTAACATTATCTATATGTTACAAAAGTATAGAAATGCATAATGGTATGGCTCACAAGAAGTTGATAGCAAAGAAAGAATGAAATGCAAACACCTACAGGAGGTCATGAATTTCCTAATAATTATTAGGAACATTACAAATGACCTATTTCCTGTCAAAAATAAGCATAAAGGGTGAGACATTTCGAAGGGGAAAAACTCTGAAAAGGGTTGTAGAACCCACACTGATCACAGAACACAATATTTGAAGCATTACCATAGCTGGTACCACTTCAAATACTACAAAAAGGTGTCAGATAATTGGAGAGAGAGGGTGTGACATCACAAGCCCCACCCTAATCCTCCTCAGCTCCTGGGCACAGGGCCACATCATTGGGCCAGGGTTTTGAACCAAGATGGCGGCTTTCTCTCAAAGCCAACTCACTACAGCGCAAGCAAATATACTGGCAAAGCTTTGCTTGCAGTCTGGTTGTTTCTTTAAGAAATTGAGAATTATGTCTGAATCCTCTGGTGTTTCCCTATGCAGGAACATGAATTCTTACAGTGAATTCAGAATGTAGCAGCTAGAATTGTTACTAGGAGCAGAAAGTACAACCATATAACCCCCATACTTAGCTCTATTCATTGGCTTCCTGTCAGGTACAGGGAAGACTTCAAAATCCTTCTACTTACTTACAAGACTCTTAGAGGTCAGGCACATGTCTATCTAATGGAACTTATTAATGTTTACCATCCACGTTGCCTGCTCAGATCACAGAATGCAGGTCTTCTTCATATTCCACGAATTAATAAAATAGCAGTTGGCGATAAAGCCTTTAGTTACAGGGCCCCTAGCTTATGCAACAGTCTCCCACCCCATATTTGAAGACCAAATCCAGATTGAAGACCTATTACTTCAGCCTAGCCTACTCACACCTTACATTATAGCCTGCTGTAACCATGGCTGCTGGTGCTACTGTACATGCCATTGTGTGTCTCTGTGTTGGCCCACCAGGTAGATACATCTGTTCTCACCAAACTATCCTATTCTCCTCCCCACATGTCCAGATGGTGCCCTGGCTGGGCACCATCTGAGTTGGATGCTGCATCACTGCCATGGATCCAAGAGGGACATCACGGATATAGCTATTTTTTAGGAGGACTTTGCTGGTCTACAGAGATCTGCCTGGAGTACTAACACACAGGAAACATGATGGATGGATGGATTAATACCCTCCTTATAATTTCCTTTTTTAAAAGTATATAATGTTAGCATGCCTAAAAGGGTTGGGCAACCAGTTGACCTTGGACCCCTAGAGGTTTTTTTTCTCCTTACTAAAGAGATTTTGGTTCCTCTCCTCCGTTGTCTTCTGGTCTTCTGTTCTGTATTGACAAATGTATGGTCACTTGCATTGTTAAGCACCTTGGGGCAACCTTGTTGTGAAAGGCGCTATATAAAAATATATTGAATTGAACAATTTAATGAATGAGGTCTGAGCATAATATAAATTTGCAGTTGGAAACAATACGGCTTTTTCATGTATTTGTGTGGATTTCTAGGAGTGGAATTTTAAAAATAAAGTTCTTTCAATCGACATTCTTATTAGTAGCTTACTAAAACTGGGGACAAGTTGTTGTTCAGATAACCTATCTCGATTATAATCAGTTTTATTTTGCCAGATTTTTCTTTTATGTCTTAATTATTATAAAATGCACTGGCAAGAGACAGGATTATGGTGGACAAAGTGTAGTACTAAACCACATACACATTATACACTCATAATTTGAGAAGACTTAACATTTAAAATGGCATACGTACCTACATCTATCTACCCATTTTCGAACTGCTGCTTCCAATTCAGGGTCACGAGAGAGCTGGAGTCTATCCCAGCAAGCAATGGGCACAAGCAAAAATATACCCTGGATGGGATATTGCAAAACACAGATTCCACACACTCCACACACTCACACCTGGGTCATTTTGTTTCTGAAGCTCGTTAACCTACCAGTATATTTTTGGAATGTGGAGGAAACCAGAGCACCTGGAGGAAACCCACGTGAACATAGGGAGAACATACAAACTCCACGCCGATAGCCCCCCAAGTCTGTACATTGAACCCAAGGCTCCACCTCTGTGTGAGACAGCAATGCTAATCCACTATGCCACCATGCTGCCCAGTTTACGGAAATGTGATATTTAAATAATTCTGCTTGATTCGTTTGCCTTCAGCTTGTTTATTTACTATACATATGCAGGTTACTGTCTGATTTTGTTCTGACACAGTGTATGTGAGATTTGATGTAGGGCTTGATGTTATTCTGGAAGGCAGCATAAACAGTCGCCCGTGTGACAATTTGATTTAGAAAGTGGGATTTACAACCTTAGAAGATTTTCAGAAGGATTTTATTTCTGAGGGAATTAATCACTGTATTTCATATGCACATGCATTTTGTTATCTGTGTGTCTACATATATATTGGGATATACTAGCTATACCAATGTGAGTCATGTATAGTTGTGTTTACTTGAGCCCTGGAAAACAAAATTTGGAACCATATGTATTGAACTTCTTCCCTCTGAATGGGAGGCACAAATAGGTGAAGACTTCTGAAATGATGCCCATATACAGTAAGACTATTGAAGACTATGAAGTCAATGGCCAGTCTAGAAGACCAGGTCAGTGTACTGTATCTCTAGAATTGAAAAAGCAATGTCCTCAACTTCCTTCATGCTAGAGCCTCTCCTAACTCTTTGTGAGGTCAGAGGCGGTTTTAAGTACTGAAGAAAAATGGCCATAAATATAAGGGAACAGGGCTGTGTTTTTTACATTTGAGTGAATATTTATTTTAATAACCACCAGGCTGATTGTGTATCGTTGGATGCATTAGTTTGGTATAGAAAAAATGGTTCTCCTAGTTTAGCTTTTTTTTTTGATAGAGCAGACTGTCATGTAGAAATCAGCATCACCCTTTAAATAACTGTCATGTTTCAGTTGTATTGAGGTTGATCCATTTTTGAGAGGATGAATGTATCTTGGGACTGTAGATATTGGGCTACACATCTTGTACTGTATTTTGTTTTTAGTTTGTAATTACAGTTAATGAGCCTCTAATTGTTGTTTCAGTTTTCCTTTTGTGTAATAAACTTTGCATTTAAAAAAGACACCAGGTGGCTATGTTTGGAATATTATTTCACTGCAAAGCACATATTATTAATTTTATTTATTATATATATCCAAACTGGGGTTAGGATTTCTGCTCTGAAAACACACTGTTTATAAGATTTGGTGTCACAGTGGAAATATAATAATATCATAAAATTAATAATATTATTATTAAATAACACCATAAACAAAATATCACTTAAATATATAGTAACTTACAGTATACAAGTTTAATTCACAATGAAGTCTTACATTCATGCAGTATTTCCTGTGCTGTTCAATTCTGTTGTAAAAAAATAAAACCTCATTCAAGTTGTTCACTTCCATTTGCTAATTATTCCAATAGGTTCTGCAATTTGAAGCAGGTGTTGAGAAGCATACTATTAGTACTTTTTAGTGGCAGGAATACAAACAAAATTGAAGAATGTAACTACAGAATTATATTGGAGGTATTATAAACAGCATAATGTAGTTTTGCAAGGTATATAAGCACCTTCTTATGGGCCTGGTATTCATCAAGCAGGTGAACACCTATAAATCCTGTTTTTACACTGAATAAAAAGACATGACTATTTTCTGTTGTTTTCTAAGTAATATTTAACCAGCATACAAACAAGTTTTTTGAGGACTGTGCATCAAGATGTCCTTTTAAATATTCCTAGGAGGTCAGTATTGTTCCAGCCTTGAGGATCAGGGCTGTTTTGATTGGAGTTTCAGTACACACCACAAAGTGCCCCTCTTGTGAGAACTAATAGCCCTGGTAAAATAATGTATTATTCAACTTTTGACTCTCTGACAATCGTAAATTTTGCATGTTCTAATGCGCCATCATGAATAATTAATTTCGTTTAAAAAATATCAAGAAGCAGATTGTCTGTTTCCTGAGTGCTTTGCAAAAGTTAATTGCCTCTAAAGTTATTCTACGGCATCAGCTAATTGTTCACTTTTGTCAAGCATAATGGAAAACGTGATGTTAAAAATCTATCTTTGTTCAGTCCAGGCTAGCCTTTTCTCCATGTGAATGCATGAGATGAGCTAAAGCAGCAAAAAAATCAATCATCAAAACAGAATAAAAGGGATTAATCGGAAGATTAAATAGAAGTGGCCATTTCATGGAAAGAAATTAATATACATTTACAGATGCAAATCCCAAACGAGAAGCCATTAAAGCATAAGCACTATGAAGTTCGTGAGGGTCAAGAACAATTTATTAGCCTATATATTCGCACCAGGGAAGAAAGGTGTATTAAATTGAAAAAAGTAAGTGAAATATTTTATACAAAAATTACACATAAAAACAGTACTGTCATAAAAAAGTTTTCTGTTCGATGCTTAAGGTACGCAATAAAAATACATTCTTGCGTACACTTTAACGCTTCTCTTAATAATAACTGTGTACAACTTCCAAAATTGTTCATGACAATTTGTTTTCCAATGAAAACAAAAGAACTTGAGTAAAAAAACAACCGCATTGGAAAATTTAATAAGGAAAAAAAAATTCCACGCTCTGCAACAGCTTCGCTCAGGAGGACGTCTCTCTCATATGACGTTTCCTTGTTGTTGTTTTTTTCCTCAGCATTTCCGCTTCCGGGTTAGTTTTAAAAAAAAATCTCTGTAACGGGTATGGATTGATAGGTTAGAATTCTGTAGGTTAATTGTAAATAATATTTTATTAGCTAATGGATGAAATGTCTTCCCCGGTCCCAGCTGTAGTCTCTCTGTTACCGACAGAGGTAGCTGCTTCTACCTCTCCGAGTCCCAGCGCCACAAAAGGCCAAGCGCCCACTCCTGCGTCCCAGGCTCGGTGTAAGAAGCGGCCGCTCAGTCCTGCTACTAGTCTCGGCCCGACCTCAGCCAGCAACAGCAAGAAGAAGAAACTGTCTTTCACCTCTTCCGCCGTGCAGTCTCAGCCACAGGTACCCTATTTTGGAAGACTAATAAAGGAGAACTCCAGAACTATAGTGTTGTAGTTATATTAATTTTATCCTGTTCTGATGTCTGTCTTGCTTTTCCTGGGCTGGGCTGCTGTAACGCCTCAATTTCCCTTCGGGATCAATAAAGTCTTATCAAAACCTAAAGCTTCTGTTTCTATAGCGGTATGAACTGGTGCGACTAATATCTAAAACCGTACCTGTTCAGTTATTCTGCCAGCAGAGTAGACTGAAGAGGTTGTGATGTAAAATGTAGAGCAATAGTGACCAATTGGGCACACATCCGCTAATACCCTGTCATTAGTGAAACGTTTTTTTCCCGACTTTTACTTTTTAATCTCTACAGCAGGGAAAGCAGTTGGTCTTCGTCACCACCAGCGTCGCTAAACTAAATTTTTAGTGCTGTTACCTGTTAATTCACACAATCTGAAGAAACGGGCGTCAAGACTAGTGAATTGATCATAGATTATATGCAGTTGAGAAGTTGCGACTTATGTTTATAAATTGCTTAATTAATTTATCCATATATCTGTTTTCTAACTACTTCATCCTTGATGGATCTGTAAGTTAGTCGATTGTTGTGACATTTGTGATTTGAAATAGAGAATGATACTTTTCTCTATCATTGGTATAGGTTAACCTACCCTGTAATTGTATTTAAGACGGATTTATTCTTTGTTTTGTTTTTGAAAAGGCAAGGTAGCCGATTATAGTTTGGTTCTAGTTGGATGCTCGTTGGATTTTCAGAAAGAAGAACAAGTAAAGGGTTATTCCATGCTGCAGAGAAAAGACAACCTTTCGGCTTTAGAGCCTTCTTCGGGTGTCTCTTTTCTTTTCGGCATGGAATAAACCTTTACATGTTCCGTTGCAGCCGTTGCATCCTGACGCAGCTACCTGGGTGAACTTTTTCAGAGTTCTTTGTTCTTGAAGAATTCGCTGATCAGTTTTGGCCAGGCTTCAGAACCTAAGTAGCTATCCTCGCCAAGTAAGTGAAGTAGCAACGCAGCTCATAATGATGTCTGCTGTAGCTACTGGCGTCTGTGACATCCTTAGCACAGTTGAGCCGCCACAATGCAAGAAGTTCCATACTGCAAGCTCCGGACATCTACAGCAAGCATCGGTAGTCAAGTAGAGATATAAGGTTTTTTTTTTATGTTGCAGTCCACTTCATTGTCTACTACACACTCAGAGGGATCATGCTGGCTACATACAATGCTTGTCAGATGGCTAATTGAGTTTCAGGTATAGTGGCTGAAAATGCCACCAGCACATTGAAGGCATTCAGCATATTCTCAAATTTGAACTCCAAGATGGCCAAAAAAACTAAGACAAGACTATTGTTATTGAAGTGCTGAGTCCAGGGAAGAAATCGGATTATTTTCCTCCCAATTGTAGCCTCCATTTCACTCTGTCTTCAGCTGGTTGTTCATGATGCCCAGGAGCCAGCTGGCACTTCAAGATGAGGTGTCTAGAATAGTATCTGATTGCCATAACTCCAGTGCCACAAGGTGGGGTAGCCAGCTGACAGTGCTGATATCTGTTCTGAACCTTTCTGTAGACATTGTATCTGAGCTTCACGCCCCTTGATTCTGAGTTTCAATCAGATTTGAAAATCATTGGGAGGCTCTGGAAAACCTGGAGCCCTCTGAGGGAGTCACTGAGAATGTGCATGGAGTCAACACAGTTTTGGCAATAATGTCCACTTGTGTCTAAGGTTTGTCCTGCTGTAGCACACATCAGTAAAACCAAAACAAGATGGTGAAACACCTAATACAGTTTGATGGAATGCTGTGGAATAGCTGCAAGTTTGGATCCTTGCTTCAGATTTGAGTGGTGCAATGATGCGCAGTATGAAGAAAGGACTATGTTCTCTTGTTTAGCCCATCTAGCCATCTGTACCTGTAGAAGGAAGTGTGGCAGTCAAGGTTTTCAGGCCTTAGTGGTGCAACCTAGGTAATCCAAAATGTGAAGCATTAAGGATAGTTAGGTGATCAGAATCAATCAATGAATGATGACAATCTTTATAGCTGTGTGCAATACATGCTACAGTACAGCATTGTCTGTGGTTTCTTTTCTTTTGGAATTCTTGGATTTGTACATGTGACACTTGAATTGACTATATTAATCTTAAAGAACTAGAATTGCAGTTAAAGGAAAAGTATGGAATTGATCATTTGATCTGAATTGAAGAGATTAGAAGGAATTGAACTGGGCTTTAATTCACTCCAAATCTAAAATTGATTGTAAATGACTGTCACGATCACTTACATATACGATCACGTCTTGACAGCTGTGAATCTGTGACATTTGTGAATTTGCTCATTGCGATTTGGTCTGGCCAATGGATGAAGAGTGGAGTGGACCGAACTGAGCTGAAGGTCTTTAAGGGCAACTTTCAAATTAGCGGTTCAACAGACAAGGATCACAAGATGAATCTAGTTCGTGAGTGAGCCTCTCCCTGCCTCCCGCCCGAATAGCCTCTACCCAGCATCTGCATCTCTATGTGGTCTTGTATTATAAAAAACACTACTGCTTGTGTTGGTGGCGTGGGGAATGACAGGCTGAAGACGGCTTTACAGGCTCTCTGACAGTTTTATTGCCTGTTTCATTACAGTGGGCGTGCTAATCACAGAGGCATAAAGTGGAAGCGCTGGCTGCATACAGAGGAACGATTCATGTATATTTTAGCTGATTACGATAAGTTTGTGAGCTCTCATGTTTCTTTTAGTTGATCAGTGTTATTTAATTTAAAGCCGAAGCATCAGTATTTTAATTATTGGGAAAGGTTATGTCATTTAACCACACGTTCTACACTGTATACTGTAGTGCAAATCTGGCTAGTCATTATGGTTTTCTGCACTGATCCCTTACGAATGTTGAGACCCTACTGTGTACTACAAGGCATTAATTTTATAGTGAAACTGACAGGCTCTTTTTGTCAATATGTCAGTTCTAGAGTATAGACCTGTGTAGTGTAAAGGACTTTGATCAGTATCATTTCAATGACTCTGAAAGTATTGCTTGTTTGCGTTCTAGGTAGTGACAGCAGATTCATCTGGAGAGAATAAATCAATGACCTCTGACTCAAGCACAGTGGCAGTGGAGTCCACAGTCAAGCCAGTGCCATTCAAAGACCAGAGCTTTGTGGTAAGTATCATCTGCCACCTATGGAAGACAGCCACAGCCACTTCACCCTACTGTCGTTTTGTGACTACATTAGGATAACAATTCATTCTTTTCAACACTTAATTTTAAACCTTCATTTACACATTGTAGCGCACGACCTCCAAGTAAAAAAATGCCCAAACAGTCTAAAAAATCATTTCAAATGAAAACCTAGAAAAGTTTGTTGTAATCTCCTCAGTTACAGCAGATCAAAAGTTTTATGTTATATTATAATTTGACAGAGCAGAATGGAGAATCTGATTTCTGCATCTGTTATATCTATTGTATTTCAACTTGCGCAAAACAGAAGTGTCACTGAAACCTTAGCAGTTGTTGTCTGCTTTATTTATACACTAGTGGAACGAGTATAATTTCCCTGAGAGTAGCTGCCGTGCTGAGACATGTGCTCTGTAGTTAGGGGAACTGATTCTCCCATGGGCTCTGTGCTGAGCTCTACTGACCTGTGAGAAACAAAATATCGGCAGTGGATATTGCAGAATCCTGTAACATGAGAAATTTATCTTGAGCGCTTGCATGCTGTTCTGAATACATTTAATTACTATGCAAGGATTTGAGTAACCTAACTAAATGGATCAATTAGTAGAATTAATGACTAAAAGCCCCTTTGGAGACTGTCATAAAAGCCTCTTTTCCTCTGCTGGGGTATTATTGTCAATATACAGCCTTTTCTGTGTTGCAGTGATCAATACAGTCTGCACATAACTACAATAGGAGGTAAAGGTCTTATGCCTCTAATTCCTAATTTAAGAAGAGGGATCATGATAGTCATGCAGAGCACGGTCATTATTCACAAAATTCACAAAAACTAGACGGGTTTAAAAAATGACAGCAGAGGTTTACAATATTGCAATAAGAATCTTGACTAAAGGGCTAAAATAACTTTTAGATTTGTGATATGACGTTTTATTGAGAGAAAGTGTAGCAAGTGGTATTTATCGTATTAGTCTGAGGGTAGTTTCCGTTTCTGGGGATGCAGCAGTATCATGTTGCTGTAATAAGCTGATGTACATAGGGCCAAATTCCAGACATCAGAAATGATGATTAATATTGACTTGCCTTCAATGGGGGTTTTCTCAGAACCAGTTTTCAGAATTGACCTGGTTAGTGACAATACAGAACACATAGTCATTTGGTTAATTGATTTGAGTTAGATACCTAGGGTGTCATGTTCCTTGCCCAGGCAGCGGTTGCAGAGTGTAATGAGTGGTAGATAAGGTGGGCATTGATGCCCAGGATTGTTTAACGAGAGCTTTGTTGTTATTTCATAAAAATGGCTTGGAGGCTCAGATCTAATTGGAGGTGAGGCGTGACCCTCACTGAAATCACAGAACCTGGGAGGTTGCAGGAGTTGCCTTTTTCCAGGGAGCAGATGGAAGGTTGCCGGATCAGTTCCAATCCTGCCCCTGATGATAGTGAGCCTGTAATAATAATAATAATAATAATTGCTTACACTTATATAGCGCTTCTCGGGACACACCACTCAAAGCGTTTTACAGGTAATGGGGACTCCCCTCCACCACCACCAATGTGCAGCCCCACCTGTATGATGCGATGGCAGCCAGACATCACCACACATCATCTATCAGTGGGGAGGAGAGCAGATTAATGAAGTCAGTTCATAGATGGGGATTATTAGGAGGCCATGATTGGTAAGGGCCAATGGGAAATTTGGCCAGGATGCCAGGGTTACACCCCTACTCTTTTCGAGAGACGCCCTGGGATTTTTAATGACCACAGAGAGTCAGGACCTCGGTTTTACGGCTCATCCGAAGCACGGCGCCTGTTTACAGTATAGCGTCCCCGTCACTTTACTGGGGCATAAGGACCCACACAGACCGCAGGGTGAGCGCCCCCTGCTGGCCCCACTAACACCTCTTCCAGCAGCAACCTTAGTTTTTCCCAGGAGGTCTCCCATCCAGGTACTGACCAGGCTCACACCTGCTGAGCTTCAGTGGGCTGCCAGTTGTGAGTTGCAGGGTGATATGGCTGCTGGCTGTAGTGCACTACCTCTTGAGAAATCCCTTTGATAGTCAGAGAGTGACATAACCCAAGCTCAGACACTCGATTACCTGAATCCTAGAGTTCAGCCTGCACTCGGAACAAGTTCCTTCATTGGCTGAAACACTTGACACTAACGTCCGAACTTCCATGGTTAAAATATCTGGAAAGGGGCTTCTCAGCATGAGAGCATCGGTGAGAAATGCATATATGTGATCATGCAATGATCTGTGCCTGCACACTGTAGAGCTAGAAGAGTCTGCCAACCTGCACAGATCATGTATATTTATAACCCCTCTAAGCCATTGCAACATGCAGTATCTCGTTGTTTTTGTTAATTAACCTCATAAAATCCATGTTTGAGCAGTATATCATTAAAGTTGTTCTTTAATTACACACCCTTCAAATGTATGCAGTACAAAACCAATAGGAAGTTCCAGGCTTTGTACATACTGTACAGCTGGAACCCCTTCATCCTTTCAAAGTTTACAATGTCTGAATTTTATTAATACCAATGCTTTTTCAGTGATAAAGATAATTAAAATTAGTTAGGTCTTTCTACTTGTTATAATTGGACAGTCTGGATTAAAATGATCTTTCTGCCCTTTTTTCTATCTACTGTACAACGATTTAATTGCTGCAAGGCAGCACATTTCAGTCTTATTTGAAGAACAGAGTAATCAACGTGAAGGAGACACCACCACATTAATTTCTGATCAAGTTAGAAATTAGAAGTTTATTTAATTGTCATACCTGTCATTGTCCGTTTTGTTCTTGGTATTCTGTTGTGGGTTACACTTTTTCTCTCTTTGATTGTTCACGTTATTGTACTAAATCTACCAGCTTTGACCTGCAGCTGCTCTGAATAAATGGCAAACTAAAGTTGAGTCATTAAAAGTTATAAGGCTCAACCTTTTTCACCTGAAGAGGATTTTTTACTGTTTTTACTGTTTGTGTGTTTTTCTATACCTGATTTGATCATATAAAGCGAACATTCATGTATACTGTTTCAACTTCTTAGTTGAGAAGTCTCAACCTAAGCTCACTTTACAAATACAATAGATAGAAATATCTATTTTCTGCAATTGGTACTTGTCATCTATAATGCCCTCATGTGATTTATATTCAGTACTCTGCCTCCCCGAATGAGGCACATCGAACCTTTATTAAAGCTGATTAATTGCGTTGGATTATTCAAATGGGCTTGGTCACTTATGGCAGTTAAACTGACTGACTCTTGTGGACTGTGCAGTTACTCTTCATTATGCCTCTTAACGATTTCCCTAAAAAGATCAGATTTATTCTCGGTGACACAAGGACTTCTTGGAGAGCTATCTATTTATATGTCAACCTACTGAGGGGAGTGCAGTGACACTTTAATAAACCTCTTAGGGTATTGATTCAGATTACCCTGTGAAATGATGCGTTAAGTCACGTGGCAGTGATAATAGCAGTGCCTGGTGAGAGCATATTAATGGAAGTGGGCACAGCAGCACGCTCTGCTGCCGGTCTCTGAGCAGGCAGGCATGCATCAAAGGCAGGGGCATGCGTTACATACTGTAACTTCACGGGTCAGTTGGCATTTTCTGCTTGGTCTCTTAGCCATGTGCACTGCAGAGAAGGAACTTTTAAAGATGAGCTCTTCCGAAAACTAAGATTTTGACATACGGCCACTGGTTAGTTTAAGCTCTGCCCCCCTCTGCAGACAGTACAGTGAGAGCTGAATGTACTATGAGGAAGAGAACGTGCTGTCAAGCAGCCATTTGGGATACATGACCAGACTATGGAAGATAGCTGCTCCTCTCTTGTATGGTGCATCTGCAAGTTATTTTATTAAAAGTAATTGCAAATTTTCTGGTATTTGCTTTTCAGGTGTTGATTATTTTTAATTAGGCCTTCTGTCACATTGCCCGAGAGGAGATTTTTTTTTTTCATTGTCATCTCCGTTCGCTTCTCCCCACCACCAGTTTATTCCTCCATATCTTGTAATTGTAACTCCTCGGATATGACAGAACGCTAATAGACTTGCTGTGTTTTCAGAGGGAAGCTAATTAAACTTTCCTCCAATTGGTTCTTCTTTTTAATTGCATTACATGGCACAAACTGAAACAATATCTGTGCTTTACTGTGACATGACACTTCATGGGTGAAAAAACAAATAGTGTTGCACACCTCTGAAGATGTGGAGTCACTGGAGTGGTGAAACTGTTTTTAGGAAATTGCCCCGATTAAATACTAGTTGTAAAACAAATGGAAATCTGGTTAATACATGGAAAATATCGGGGGACATTGCACACCGCAAAATACCAATTTTGTCCATGAACATCTAATTATACGAGTCATGGGAGATGTAATGTCCTCCCTGAAATTACTTTTTCAGATGTATTGTGGTGCCTTAAATATATATTGGCTCTGCAAATATAGAAAGTGCCAGTTCAGCCAGATGAACTTTTCAATGTATTTGGTTCTATCCAAAGTGAGCTACGTTGCAGTAGTAGGGTCTTGACATCTGCCAATTTAACATTCATGAATAACGTACAACAGCAATGCCCCACCCAGAATATTTCCATTGCTAGTCCATAGCCCCGACCACAGCACCACACTGACACGACAATATGTGGAAGGCAACAAAACAAAAAGCATGCTAAAGGTTACGACTGGACTGAGAAGGTGGAAACTATTATGAGAACAATTTATTTCTTCCTTGTGAATCTCTTATAGAACATCTCCAATTTCACATGATGGGTGTCGTCTGCCTTGAAATCACTGTGCGGCTGTTTTCCGTTATTGTATCAGTGCCCCTAAGATTAATTTGTGAAGCGCAGGCTAGATTTTGCCACTTTGACTGCAGCGCTAACATTTTTTGTCGTCTTTGGTTACAATAGCATTCCCACGCTACTATTAATCCCAGGGTGATTGGACACGGTGAACTAATTTGCTGTTCTGGTTGATGTGATGGAGGAGCTCAGGCATATGGAGTTCTGCTTCTTACTGCTGCCTGCAGGGTCCCTTGGAAAAAAAAGGTTGAGCTCTTCCTCATACGTGTCAGGTTTCTTTGCAGCAAGCCAAAAAATAAACATTTTGGGAGAAAGGACATCACGTTCCTGTTTTGGACTTAATTGCCACTAAATATTTCAGGGCCTCAGTTAATACTGAAAAGGAGGAAAACATTAGTGGTTTTGAAGAATTCCATGGGCCTGGTGTACATGCTAGGTTCAATCAAGCTGCAACAAAAGGGGCTTCAGAATCAATCAACTTTAATGAACTGGGAAGATTGATTGAAATATTTTCAGTTACTTAGTCTCCCCATTGTCATACGTTTATGTGGCAGGAGGACTTGTTATTCAGAACATAAAACGTAATGACTTGTTACCACATAGTTTGTACCATATTGGTTTAGAAAAATCATTCCTAGTGTGAATGGGTAATGCAATCCCTTTATATTTCCCTTATATATACCATTTTCCAACCAGTTTATCCAGTATATGGTCAATTGTAGCCTGTCCTGGTAAGCGATGGGTACAAGGCAGGATACACCCTGGATGGGACGCCAGTCCATCACAGAGCACAATGTCACAAACACACACACACTCACACCAGGCCAGTTTTCCTAGAGGCCAGTTAAACTGCCAGTATTTCTTTGAATCACATATAGCTTCGGGGCCTGTGCTCTGCACTGTGAGTGATGTCAAGGCTGGGTTCAGCAATCCCAGCTCTATGCTTCAGATTACATTACATTGACAGCCTCACTCTCTCACTCTCTGCAGCACTCGGGTATCGGTGGCGCAGCGGCCGGAAAGAAGAACAGGACATGGAAGAACCTGAAGCAGATCCTGGCTGCCGAGAGGGCGTTACCATGGCAACTGAATGATCCAAACTGTGAGCGTTTTTTTCCTTGTTTTTGGAGCCTTCCTTTGACAAAGGTGACTGCAAACATCCGTAGGTGTTCAGATGAGACACTGATATTCACGCCTGGTTCTTGATTTCATTTCGCCCTGGACTCTAAAGACTTAATTGGACTCAGTTGTCCACTTACTTAGTCTTTATTATCACTGTTTCCAAAGTCTTCACTAATTAAGACTTGTTCAATAAGAACCGGTGGGCTGTAGACCTCTAGGACAAAGAATGAATATCAATTTAAGTGAATAATGTGACAGTCTACTCCCTTTCATTTTTTGTCACATGCACAGAGTACAAAATGATCAAAATACAAAAAATCTAATTTTAAAAAAGCTCAGTTATAGGGCTTTTAGATTGTGTGCCAGTGAATCCAGCTGCATCACACTGCCAGTAGTCTGTCACTTGGCTTGCTTTGGGTCTGCTCAGTAACTTGCAAGAAACGATCAGGACATTTCTGAAAAAGTTTTTGCTTATACAGTGCAGCCTGTAAGTATTTGGACAGTGACACAATTTTTGTTGTTTTGGCTCTGAACTCCAGCACATTGGATTTGAAATGAAACAATGACTGTGAGGTTAAAGTGCAGAATGTCAGCTTGAATTCAAGGGTACATACGTCTGTATTGGGTGAACCATATAGGACTCACAGCCCTTTTTATGCATAGTCGTCCCATTTTAGGGGACCAGAAGTAATTGGCTGCTCAGTTGTTTCTTGGCCAGCTGTGTGTCGTTGCATCATTAATCATGCACAAGAGAGCTTAATTTGAGGGTATTTATGTCTATATTGGGTGAACCATATAAGAATTACAGCCCGTTTTATACATAGTCCCCCCATTTCAAGGGACCAAAAGTAATTGGATACATTAATATAATCTTAAATAAAATATCATGTTTAGTACTTGGTTGCAAATCCTTTGCAATTGATGACTGCCTGAAGTCTGCGACCCATAGACATCACCAGACATCGGTGCATTCTTCTCTTTATGGTAGTCTTTGAGACATCTATGCCTACATCGTGGAGAGTGTTCCTGATCTCTTCAACGATCGAAAAGGCGTTTTTCTTCGCGATTGAAAGTATTCTCCGGTCATCCACTACTGTGGTCTTCCGTGGTCTACCAGGTCGTTTGCTATTGCTATGCTCACCAGTGTGTTCTTGATTCTTTTGTACCAAACAGTTGATTTTGACATACCTAATGTTTTTGCTATGTCTCTGATTGATTTATTCTGATTTTTCTTATATGTAATTCTTATATGGTTCACCCAATATAGACATAAATACCCTCGAATTAAGCTCTCTTGTGCATGATTAACGATGCAACGACACACAGCTGGCCAAGAAACAACTGAGCAGCCAATTACTTCTGGTCCCCTAAAATGGGAGGACTATGCATAAAAAGGGCTGTGAGTCCTATATGGTTCACCCAATACAGACGTATGTACCCTCGAATTCAAGCTGACATTCTGCACTTTAACCTCACAGTCATTGTTTCATTTCAAATCCAATGTGCTGGAGTTCAGAGCCAAAACAACAAAAAGTGTGTCACTGTCCAAATACTCACGGACTGCGCTGTATATGCCAGCCTGTGCATACATTGATTGTATTCTGATTGTATTGCCAGTGCGGATGTTTAGTTTGCAGCTTGCAAATGTCTCCAGCACTGAGCTGTGGTAAAATATAAAAAAGTTTTTTTTATTCATAAAGAAACCTGAAACCTGAATTATTACCAGAGGCAGTGCCCATGTTTTTCCTAAATCTAATTAAGATTTTTCACACTAGAGGTTATATCTGGAAAGGTGGTTGGGTTCTGCCTAATGCCAGAGCTCATCCTAGAAATTTGTTTTTCAGCACTTTGGAAACAACATTCTTGTTGAGGAAATTGGTTTTTAAAATTTGCAAAGTTTAGGTTTGAGTTCATCCTTTAAAAACTTGTTCTGCTTTCTTTCCAGACTGTAATATAGATGCCCCTCCTTCCTTCAAGCCAGCTCGGAAGTACTCTGATATTTCTGGACTCCCGGTGAGTCTCCATGCAGCCTTTGCAAGGAAAATAGAAGAAAGCCTTTTGAGTGCAGAGCAGGGTTCTACCATGGCACTTCCTAGGAGTAGAATCATTTTAGTCAGACCCTACGAATCTGAGTTTGAGTTCTGCCTTTAATAGTAATAGTGCTAGTGAGTCCTACGTGCTCAAGGCCTCATTATGGTAAGAAGTGGCAGAGAATTCTTAGCGGCGATCCATCTGGCTTTTTCTAATTTAACTTTAATAAAAATCTGCTGAAGATGCACCTAAGCTCTCCATGAAGCCATATGCCAGCTCCTGCTAATTTGCAGCGATGTCAAATGATCAAGAAAAGAATTATAATTTAAGCTAATACCATTTGAAAAAGGTTTATTATATATTTTGTTGCAGGAATATTAATTGTGCACAAAACATTTTTATGGTAACCTGTAAGGAACTCAAGGAAGGAACACTTTTCAGTAGTACACAGTAAAAAAGACAAATTTCACTTCACTGTCCCAATACTTATACTTTTCACTGTAGGTGATATAGCGGGTTCACTGTCAGTCTATGATCCTGGAATTCACTCTGGACCTACAGTGCAGTCCGAAAGTATTTGAAACAGGGGGACTATGTATAAAAAGAGCTGTGATTCCTATATGGTTCACCCAATATAGACATAAATAGCCTTGAATTAAAGTTGACATTCTGCACTTTAACCTCATAGTCATTGAATTATTTCAAATCCAATGTGCTGGAGTTCAAAGCCAAAACAGCCAAAATTGTATCACTGTCCAAAAACTTATGGACTGTACTGTATATACAGGTGACAGTCTTTCGACCCAAAGCGCTATAGGAAAGTATTTTTTCTAAGCAAACTCCAGTGAGGGGGCCGCTCTGAGTGCAAATTGAGTCCTGTGACAGTCCTGGGAGCTGTAGCTGCAGTAGGAGGTTTTTACCAATTATAGACTCCAAATGTATGGAAACAAAATGACCAATTCACAACCTGTTCAATGTTAGTGCTGTGCTCTGTAAGATGTGCTTCTGTTTTCTTCTGTTACCTTTCTCCTCAATACTGAAACAGTGCCGCAGGGAATTAACATAATATTTGCCAAGACGATTAAAATGGTGAAATATGATGAATGCATGTTCAAATTATTTAATATTAATTTTCTTGTAGATTAATTGTAGAGCTTGCCTCTAGACTCATTGAGAGCCTTGCTAATAACTCCTTTGCTGTTTTGGCTTTGTAGGCAAATTACACTGACCCACAGACCAAGCTGAGGTTCAGCTCCACAGAGGAGTTCTCCTACCTTCGCATGTTGCCTACAGATGTAGTGACAGGGTACCTGGCCCTGCGCAAAGCCACCTGCATCGTGCCCTGAGTGGACAGGAGGGGGCCAGCATGTGGCAAGGAAGACCTCAGCACTGCTGTATGAGAGCTATGCAGCACACAATAAAGGATTACTGTTGGCATATGCCTGAAAGTGGAAAGAAGCTCAGTGCACCCACTGATTGTTGATTAAAGAATAATTTTGATTCGGTTTGAGCTGAAACAAGGAAGGCCTGCATGTGTAAAGTATGCATGGATTTTGCTTCTCTGATCATGCTTGCATTCAAGCCCAGCACTTGAGTGAAATGAAGAGGCTTGTCCACTCAAAGCAGGCATAGGAGTACAGATATCTTCTGCAGCTTTAGTAGCGTGCTGACTGCATACCAGCACAGCACTCAACACACAGGGACTGTGTGCACGCTGCAAGGCCTGATTTACTTTGGGCTTTTAGAGTTGGCTTATAGGCTCTCTATATCACTCATCCCCCAAAGTATTGCCCAGTTATATAGAAGCGGAGATTGTAGGCATTTGCGATGCAACACGTAATATTTTCCTCATTCAATCTGAAACACCCTGTTGAGACCAGTGCAGTTCTTACACCCCAAAATGTTTTGTTTTGCCTGTGTTGCTATACCGCTGCTTCCCTTGCTTTCTTCTTACTTGAGGGCTTTTGAAGCTGGCCTGTTTGAAGTAGAAATATCAAGCCAGTGCGAATGTTGTGCAGCGTGCTGTGCTTGTCATCTACCAAATCGGTATGAATTTATTATTACCTGTACACAACATATTCTCAAATACACACGGCACTTGCTTAAAAAAAAAAGTGTGACGGAATAGCCTGAAGTTAAGAATTCAGTTTTGATTGTTTTTTTATTCTGTGAATTTGAAGTCTTAACCGCAACTGCGGTGTGAAAGATGTTAATATGCAGTGATGCTTGAATGAAAGGTGCTTCTTATAAAGTGTTTCCTTGGTTTTAGGCAAGAAACTTGCAGAGCAAAACAGCTTATCTGGGGATGGCAGCTGGACTGGGAAACGTGTAGAGCTTTGTGTGACCTTGGTGCTCACAGACTGGCTGACATTTCGGGGTGTACCTGCTGGATACCTGAAGCGAGAGATGCAAATTAGCATGCCTTATGAAAAGGACAGATCTCTCTGTAACCTTATAATTTGTTTTGTATAGAGCAATGCCTCCAAACGTTTTAACTTGTAATTGGAAACTGTTAGTACTCTCTACGTCTGTAAATTAATTATACATCGATTTCAATCCTGAATCATAAAGTTTACAAAGGCAGGAAGAAACTGTGTGGGTGGAAAGTTTTCTGCCTTTGGAGAAAAAGTGTCTAAACCTGTTTTTTCAGATGCACTTTTCATGTACTGTGTGGGTGAAAATATTTATTTTCTGGGTCACTTCAGACTGTGGTGTTGTCTAATTTAAACTAATGCTAATTTCTCTTTAATAAGTAAAATCTTAAGAAAAGACCTGGAAGCCAAAGCACAATAAAAATGTTTGGAGCAGCAATCTGACATTGTCTGCATTAGACTTTAATTGTGCAGTTTCTCCTGTTTAGCCAAGAAAAGGTAAACATTCTTTCACTAATGATTAAATCATTCCTCTAACTGAATGCCTTTTTTAAGGTGTTTTTTTTTCCATGATGTACTGTTTCAAGCAGGATTGCATAACATTAGAGGGGTGTTAATTTGATTGCCTCTTTTTTTGGAATGATCTCATTTATGCAAATTAAAGTCCTTCTTGTCACTTTCTTCCCGGAGACATTCTTTAATGTGAGTTATTTCTGCAAGGAAGATGTCTCGTTTTGCTTTGTTGTTTTAGGTTAATTGTAGTTTAAAGGTGCACTAATGTGACAGGGCAGGCTAACAGTCAGGCATGAAAGCTGGTGTTAAAATTGTTTTTAGCTCAAATGAATGAGCCTTGTAAAAATCTCTGCTTTAAGAAGTTTAGATTTGCATCCCTGGGTGAAACTGGAATACTGGCAGCACCATGGCACTCATTAATCTTGCACTTGGCAGGCTTAAGATAAGGAGGCTGGGTCCGTTTCTCCTGAGTGGAGTCACTGAGGGAAGAGCAGTGTGTGGGTGGTCTGGGTCTCAATTTAATAATCCAGCCAAGGCCGTTTCAGTTGAAGAAGCAGGGCTTTGACTAAAACAGTACCACTGTTGTACTGGGAAATGCAAAGCTACTGCATAATCCCACACTTCCCTTTTCACCCTCTTTATTTGTGTTAGATCCCATTATGCTTTAATCCTTGTAGAACAATCCCCACGACACAGTAAATGTAACGGGCTTTCCCTCATCTCGTTGCATTTTGTTCACGCAGTATCTTCCTTCGGTCCTCACATAGTGCTGAATTAAAGTATTTTGTCTGCACCTCCCTTGCATATAGACGTCTCGGCAGTACACCGTGATCATGTAGTGGTCCATACTTTCCATTGTTGCCGCAACAACCCTGGTTCGAATCTGGGTCACACCAGGAGATGACGAGAGAGTCCTCTTTTTTATTTTTTTTTCCAGCAGCTATATCTTCCTGCAACTCACAACTTGGATGGGAGACCTCCTGGGAAAGCTGAGGTTACTGCTGCAACAAGTGTTAGTGGAACCAGTAGGGGGTGCTCACCCTGCAGTCTGTGTATGTCCTAATACCCCAGTATAACACTATATTGTACAAAGGCGCTGTCCTTCAGATGTGACATAAATTTGAGGTTCTGACTCTCTGTGGTCATTAAAAATCCCAGGGCATTTCTTGAAAAGAGTTGGGTTGTGACCCTGGCATCCTGGCCAAATTTGCAATTGGCCCTTACCAATCATGGCCTCCTAATAATCTATGAACTGGCTTCATCACTCTGTTCTCCTCTCCGCCGATTGCTGGTGTGTGGTGAATGTACTGGAGCACTATGGCTGCCGTCGCATCATCCAGGTGGGGCTGCACATTGGTGGTGGTGGAGGGGAGTCCCCATTACCTGTAAAGTGCTTTAAGTGTCCTTAAAAGTGCTATATAAGTGTAAGGAATTCTTATTATTATTAATAAAAATTGGTATAGACTTTTTTATTTCCTGTGAAGCATAGCACTGTAGTTGTGTCCCTAAAGTCCTTTGGACATAATGGGGAGTGGCTTGATTTCTTAGTCTCATCATTTAAATAATTACTTGCTTCATCAGTCAAAATCAACAGCTTTTCATCTATCTTTTCTCTGATGAGCTGGACCTTGCTGTTGATAATTTATGTGAGTCGGAATAATGTCTGACACAGGTAAGGATAGTTTTTCTATATTCTGTAGATGCTACTCCCTACATAGGTGTGATATATCAGACCGCAAGCTTTTCTACACCAGAACTCTTATCGGATAAGATGTTTATTTTAGTGATTGCACCATGTCAAAAACAGATGATTTGCATATACTCCTATAGTCTATAGAGTGAGCCACTTGAGACTTGAAAACTAAAACCCTAGCACTGAAAGATAGCAAGGTTTATGTATTACCCTTCTAACCCTTGTTTCAGGTAAGTTATATAGTAGGCATCTTTGCATCCCTCAACTTTGGTCAAATATTTCTGAGAAGGAGCTGTGTGTCTTGTTGAACAAACTGCATTAGCTACACTTGGTGATGCTGTACCTTGTTAATATTTCCCAGCAGTGCCAGTCTTCACTTCTGACCTCCTGATCAGACCAGCTCCGACTCAAACAAACGGAGCTGTAAGTTATCATGCAATTAGTCTCCAGTTGATGATGTTTGTCTGGGACTCACTGCTCGAAGAGGCAGGTATCCTATAAGTTCAAATTGGGAATCAATATGAAATAGGCAGTCATAGCGCGAGCTTCCAGAGGTGTCAGAGGAACTCTGTGTGAGGAATCAATACACCTCATCACTGAGGGAAAGAGACTCCTTATTTTGTTGTTGCAGCAAAAGGGCTGTGATATAACCCACACCAGATAAGTTTCCTGCAATTATTTTTTCTAGATCCTTTCTAACATTTTTATGGGAGTCCTACTGGATGTGAAGCAGCCCCCAGAACTGTTTTGATGAATGATGTTCAGAGTAGTGTTTCTATTTTCCACACGTGCTTGCTTTTCCGATTAAATTCATTCTATTTGAATATCCTGCATCTTGGTCTTCATGCAACAATTTATAGAATTTCTCTCGAGATGCCAGTTATTTTTACACTACCCTGTAACCTACATCCTACATGATTCACAGCGGGGGTCCTGTACAGCACGAGGCCATGAGGGATGGACATAACACATGCGTGTTCTTGGATGTGCGTCAAAATGGATTCTCGTTATACTCACGGTTGCGATTATATAACCGCCCATTCTGAAGCATCATGAAATGTTTAAACAGGAAAAAAGGGTCCTCCTTTGAGCAGGACTGACATGTAGTCCCCCCAAACAGCAAATGCGGTGGAGAGGTCAGAAACTACTTATCTAATTACGCACCACAGGACAGCTGAGACCAGCACCCAAAGTGTAATATAGCCTGGACACTCAGATATCTCTCCTCCCGTTTTTAATAGTGCCAGGGAATATTTAATGATTTTATCAGCATCTTGCAGAATCATCCTTATGGTGCAAGAATCCTGTATTATAATCCCTTAGATAACCCCACCAGATTAGAGATTTGGGGAATTTCTGGGCCTTGAAGGGAATGTGCCTCCTAATGATCTTCCATGTCTGGAATATGGTACAGCACCAGCCAGCTCCAGCCTTGGCATTTCTGAGATCTGCCCAACTCAAGCTTCATGGGTGTGTGGCCACTGTGGTTGTCTTTTTTTCCCCTAATGCAATGGAAACTGCAGAGGGTTGTTTGCTAGAGTAAGTTACTAGTAATGCCCAACTTTGCAGGAGCCTATTTTACTCCAGTTTACTCAACACTCTCTTACTCTGACCCTGGGGTGGCAAAGGCCTTGGCCCTTATCTGCAGGCTGTGCAAGAAGATCACTTCAGAAACCTTTTCCTCTGTTCTTTGCCCTAAGTGTTTTAAATTGCATTTTTAACATTGAATGGTTATTTACTGTATGTGCACTGTAACTCCCCTATAGGACATTAAGCATGCCAAAACGTGCTCTGCATCTCCAGATTATAGCAGGTAATGCTGTGTTACTGTTAGATACAAAACGTCTTTATCCACATGAATTGGGCAGTTCTTCAAAACCAACAGGGACTGACAGCCAGCCAAACTGAGTAAATGTCAGCTCTAGCCCAGCTACTGCTGGGAATTGGAATTTGGCTTCGCTTTTCAATGAAACAAAAGTGATAGAAACGACAGGATTCTGGGTTATTAAGATGGATCAATTGGGAGCAGTCAAACCTTTTTGCAGACTGTTTTGCAGCTCTTTGTTATATCCTGCTCAGCTTCACATTTTGTGCTGAAAGCTGTAATTACTTCCCAATAGTGTTTTCCTAGGAGGTGCGCATACAGCTTTAATTGCAGTAACACTGCCAACAACTGGCATTGCTTTTCATAAAATATTAATTTCTTTAAAAATGCCTGTTTTTTCCTTCCTTCACCTCGTCATAAAATCGCTAAAAAAAGAAGACTGCAGTTGGTTTTAAATGGTAAAAAAGTACCCTTCTAAACTCATAATAAGATATTTAGTCACGCTTAAGTAGTTCAAATGAACTGAACAGGTCCAAATAGCTGATATGTATTATTTAGTAGGAAGCAGCTGTCAGCCAGAGAAAAAAAGCCATGAAGATCAAACACCAACTTACAGCTGCCGAATGTTCCTAACTGTGCAAAATATAGATTCGGGTCTGTATTTACTTCAGGTGTGTAGAAAAACAGTGAACTGCAGTTACATACCTCAGTGTACTTTTTCTTCATCTGTCACAAGCCATTAATGGGAAATAAAACAATCGGTTTTCTTCTAGGAGTAAGCCTGTCACCTGAAAATAGTAATTATATCCCTAAATGAAGTACTCAAGTAATTAACAAACTTCTTAGTTGAAACGTGATCATGTTGTCTGATGATTGTCTTAATGGCTAATTTTCCTGTCACAATTTTCATTAATGCTATACATCTTTAAAAAGCCTTCCTATACTGCTGCTTATAATGTCAGCCACAACAAATACCAGTTTGTCTCAAAGAGGTTTTTGTCTCAATTTGGTGTTAATTGCATTAAATAAATATTACACATTTCTTAATTAATAAAAGAACGATACCCATTAGTAAATGATATTTAATAGGAATGGTCTTCACTGGAAAGAAAATGATCTTCACTGCCATTCACTAAAGCAAATAATGTGTTACCTTTACAAACAAATAAGAAGTGGATATATTCAGTGCCGGATTTCCCATTCTGATTAGGGCCTACGAAATTTTTCGGGCCTACAAAGGAGGGAAACACTAGTGACTAACGAAAAATGAGCTGAAACAACATGCTTGTGATCAGCTCTAGGTGCTCCAAATCAATAATTAAACGCTATCTAGCAGCTGTTAGGATAGTTTAAAGTGCATCATATCAATTGCCGTAATTCAATTGGTGTTTACCCCTCTTTTTGCACATTTCAGAGTGAAAGTGCCTAGGACCTATGAACACCAAAATCCAGCCCTGGATTTACTCACCAAAATGTTAGGACTGTCCCCCAGATTTTTCATCTGGTTTCGTTTATATTGTGTTAATCTGATATTTATGTAATTCTGCTTTGTGCAGCTTTTCTGTCTGCCAGATAGACAGCTTATTTGCTGACCTAGTGTCTGAACACAATTGCAGAAGCAGGACTACTGTGCACCAGGACAGATAGCCCTCCACGAG